GAAATTACTCTTAGTAGGACTCTTTTGAGTTAAGGATGTTACTTTCACCATTAATCCCTTAACAGATGACAGGAGATCATTATGGAACTTCCACATTGTACTATTTTACATACATCTGTTTGGAAGAGACACAGTTCAGGACCCAAGACTGCCAATCCATGTCACAAGGAATGTCTTTCAGTCAGTCAATCCATGTCAAAGAGTAAATAACTTTCTAGATGGAAAAAGGTATATCATATCCTAAAGCAAGGAGGTCTTGGTTAGTTTGTGGATTCAAAAGGTTTCAATTTAGAAAGAAGAGAGACAAGAATGAAAGTTGGAAAAGAAGACAGGCAAAATTATAGAAATACATCATTTTATACACACAATTTTGTTCTTCTCTCCAAAAACCATCCAATCAACTAAGAAAAACAACAAAACCAGTTTTAACTAGCTGTGAAACTTTTTTCCCCCTCACACACATAGACACTTTATTAAGTTTCCTTACTAAGAGACAGGGACACTGATATTTTAACACAAGTTTCAAGTCATCGAGAGACCGAATAGATCCAAGGAAGGAAGAAGAAACTATTTAAATTAATCAAAAAGCACAACACCATCGTCTAAAATCTACTACCATGGTGACAGGAGCCAAGGGAGAGGAAGCTACAGCAAAATCACATGATGTAAACATTAGAGGTTACATAGAAGGGAAAAAGTTTGCCTTCCAGAAGACTATGGTACACTTTGGCCAGAAAAAAAAAAAAAAAAGGTCAAGATGGTGGAAGATAAAAGCCAAATCAAAATGAATAGGTACAAAGGGGAATCCAAGATGTGTAGTCCTCTAGTAGTTGGTGTCGAATCAGTCTTCTTCCTCCAAAAAACATTAGCTAACACCGGGCTGCCTTCCTTCAAGATCCCACTTAAAGGCACTGTAAGCTAATAGCTCTGGTCCCTGCTTTACATGGAGCTTGAGTTGATTTTAACGCACAGTCACCCTTCACAATTTTTCCAAGACTGCAAATATTTATGGGAGATTATCCCTTTTTCTCTGGCAGGGCAAGTTGTGAATTCAAATCCCCACCCCGCTGTGCCACAGGAAATGCACTACAGCAGTGTAGTAGTTGTTAAGTACCGTTGAATAGACTACAACCATGGCAACTCATGACCAAGACATCAGAACCCTGCCCTCCCTGCATTATTCTCATGGTCTCTGATGTGCTTGAGCCTATGGTCAAAGTCACTGTGTCAATTGATTGCGTGTGGGCGGGGTCTGGTGGGGATGTCTCTTCCTCTCTTTTACTGACCTTCTGCCTTTCCAAGCATAATATCCCTTTCCAGGAAATCGCCTCTCCTAAAAACATATCCAAAGTCTGAGAGAGACAGATTTGCCATTCTTGCCTCCAAGGCGCACTCTGGCTGCACCTTTGCCAAGATATATACCTCTTTGTTCTTTTGGTAGTCAGGGCATATTTAACACTCTTCAACAATACCGTAACTCAAAATCATCAATTCCTCTGTCACCTGTACTCATTGTCTAGTTCTCAGATGTATAGAAAGAGCTTGCTAAATCCCTTCTTGTTAATGATAAAGAAAACCTAGATATTCATATTTATACAGACTTAAAAGAAGAAAAACTCTAAGATTTTCTAAGAAAAACTCTAATAAAACTATATAATTTCTATGATCCCCTAGAAAAATTATTAGAATACTAACAGACTTGAGTGTGACTTGATTTCAATCTAGATTACGAAATAAGTAGTGTTGATAAGTTCTGTTCTTCTTACTTCATGTGATTTTTTTCAGAATGTACAAGTAAAAATTTCCTCCTGAGAGTTCATTAAGTCATTCAGACTGAGATATAATCGTGTGGCCTAAGCAGGTAAGAAAGTAAATTATGGAAGATTTTTCACCTTCTTTAAGCAGTATACAAGTGAAAAAATGTTAACTAATATTCCTATTAGAGATGTCAAGAAATCAAATAATGAGAACACTGAATGTTATTACTTTCGTAATAAAACACTCGGTGTCTCTACATTAAAAATTCTTTAAAGTTATTTGATTTACAACTGCATAAAGGTATAATTTCAGCTGTTAGTATCAAATGTCCAGTTAGATTAATATAAAATGGATATCTTGTGGATATCTAAAGGAGTCATCACATACTTCTCATGTCTTTCTTCTTTAGAAGCTATTTATGATTTCTTCCTGTTGACTACCCTGTATAAACCACTAGGCATGAAAGTCAGGTAAATACAAGGCAGATTTTTGATCCATCCACATATATAAAGCTTAAGCAAAAACAGAAGATAATGAACTTCACAGTGAGTTTGTAGCTTTGAAAATGATGTACTGCTGAAACTTCTAACATGATAAAAGATTTGAGCTTTTGTTAGATGTTTTCTCTTCTTTAACTCTCCATGCATGTTATAGAGTTACTGACATGCTAACCTCAAGATATTTAGAGTGGATTTAGTGTATAGCTAACCTAGAACTTCAATGAAATACTCCTAAAACTTGAACAATGAATTCTTTCTCCTCAGAAACGAAATCCAATTTATGGAAGTCATTCCTACTTAGTTCCCTCCCAAGCGAAATTTAAATCTTACTAATTTAGTTCAGTTGATGAAGAAGTCTTTCTGCATTATTAAACAAAACCACATTCATTCATTTCAGCAAATTATTTTCAAGCATATGCATGAAAGCTATGTATAGAATAAAATTGTTACATAATGTAGGACTTGAATTTAAGATTGTCTGCTAAATAAAAAATAATAAAGAATTCATGAAACACTGCATGACATGGATAAATTTAAAGACATTGTAAGTGAAGTAAGTTAGAAATAAGAGGACAAGTACTGTGTAAGAGTGGAAAGAAAATCTCAAAATCACGTGATTCAAATCCATCAGCTGCTTCCATGGAGAATAAAGTATAACCTCCTTCCATGAGATTTAGTGCCTCTGAAAATCCACTTCAGGATCAATTATAAGTCGGTTACCACTGAAGACACACAACAACAGAATTATAAAAAACAAAAACAAAACTGGATACGGCATGGTTCAGAGCTATTGTTCATAGGATCGCTACAAGTCATAGTCGACTGGAAGGCATATGGCAACAACAACAAAGAAACATTTACCCACAAATGGAGTCATTATATGGTTACCAGGGAGAGGAAGGGAAGATGAAGGGTGTGGGAATCACTAAATAGATAATAATCATCATTAAGATAGGTGAAGAGAAAGACAATATAGGGTAAGTAGATGATTATGCGTGGTGAATCTTGTTATTAATGCTATGGGACAAAATGTGTGTGAATAAATGTTTGAAAATCTGAGGTAATTGATTTAGCTATATTGGCTAACATTTTACTTGATTAGCTTCAATTTTACTTTTAACTCCATTATCTTTTAGCCTCATTTTGGTTTGTTACCTGTAACCGTTGTTATTATTGTTATGTGCCCTCAAGTCACTATGACTCAGAGCGACCCTATGAACAACAGATCTGAATCCTCTCCTATCCTGTGTCATCTCAACATCTCTGATACATTGGAGCTCATTGCTGCAGTCACCCTGTCAATCTACCTCATTGGGGATTTTCCACTCATTTGCTGCCCTTCCATTTTTTTTCAAGCACGATATCCCTTTTCACGGAATTCTCTCTCCTAGCAACAAATTCTAAATATGTGAGGTGACGCTTCACCATCCTTACTCCCAAGGAACAGCCTGGTTGCTCATTTTTTCAAAACATATATGTGTGTTCTTTGAGCAGTCCATGGGATATTCAGTACTCTTCTCCAATAACATAACTCAAAAGCATAAATTCTTCTCTTCTCATCCTTATTTGCTGTCCAATTCTCCGCAGCATAACAAGTAACTAAAAAGACCATGTCTTCAAATTGACATTGTTGCTCTTCAGTATTTTGGAGAAGTCCCTTACAGCTGACGTTCTAACAAAAGAAGAAGGAAGGAGGAGAAGGAAGGAGGAGAAGGAAGGATGAGAAGGAAGGAGGAGAAGGAAGGAGGAGAAGGAAGGAGGAGAAGGAAGGAGGAGAAGGAGGAGGAGGAGGAGGAGGAGGAGCACGAAGGAGCACGAAGGAGCACGAAGGAGAAGAAGAAGAAGAAGAAAGAAAGAAGTAATAAATCTGCTGATTTCCTGACTGTTGATACTGAGGATCTTGTGGTTTTAAGTAAGATGAAATTATTGGCAGTTTAAATCCTTTTTTCCATCTATTATGATGTTACCTATTGATCCAGTGGTAAGGACTTTTGTTTTCTTAATATTGAGATGTAATCTATGTTGAAGATTATAGTCCTTGACCTTTTGCAACAAGCTTTCAGATCCTCCTCATTTTCAGCAAGTAAGGTGGTGTCATCTGCACAATTTAAGTTGTCTAGTTTTCCTCTTATCCTTACACCACATCTTTTTTCATAGAGTTCAGCTTCACGAATATATACATTGAATAGTTACGGAAGAAAGAATATAGCTTTGATGCTAGAATCTTGTAAAACTTTACAACAGACTTCCCACTCCCTTTCTTGTAATGCCTGTCCTTGTAAACAGTGCTAATGTAGGTCTTCTCTAAAATGAATTTTATAAAACTCCTATCCACACTAGTCCCAAAGATATGTATGGATTAGAAAATCAAGTAATTTTGAAATATTTACGGTCTTTCAAAAGAAACTTCTAGGGTCTCACAAAAAACTCAAATCTCTGTAAATGTCAACCAACCAAAAATTACACTCTTAATTTCTGCATTTCACTATATATTTATAATATGTCTCAGTGTGATCCTAGCATTGGGATATTTAGCTTCACTTTGTGACACTTTGCTGGTTTGCAGTTTATTCCCCAAGAAAACTGTTTCTTTCTAACGAAAATATGACCATTTTCTCCTCTAAAACACAAGTCATGATGTAAAACATGTATCTTATTCTCTATTAATGTGAACAATATTTATAAAATCCTTTTTAAAAGCTTCTTTATTGGCACCAAAAAAGCAAAGGGACTGTTACTCACCTATAGTAGGGTCATGATAGTCGGGGAACTGATGACTAATAAACTGCATTGTCATTGCTGAAACGACAATTAAAAAATTTAATTTAATAATAGTTCACCAATTCACCATGATAGCTCATCATTTTTTAAACAGTTTGGATGAATAATATGCTTATGTGAGTGACTTATTTAATTGCAAAAGACAGATAATGATTAGACAAAATTCTTGAGAGAGAGGAAAATATGCCAAATAATGTCAGATTCTTGTCTGAAATACATACAACCAAATAATGCAATTCAATTAAAAACTAAGTAACCTCATCATTTAAATAATAATAGCAATAACAATTGCCAGTCAGTTCTGAGTCATGGCAATCTTATGTATAAGCTCCAGAGTGGAAGGAGCTTCATAGGGTTTTCAATGAATGATTATTTGGAAATAGATGTTTAGGTCATTCTTCTTACATGCCTACAGATATACTCTGATCACCAATCTCTTGTGTTAGCAGTTTATTAATTGTACTATCCAGAAACTGGTAATGAATTGCACTGTCAACCCAAAAACAGGCAGTTGGAATCTGCCCACTGCTACGCAGGAGAAAGATGGGCAATCTCATTTCATGCCATTTACTGCCTCTGAAAACCTGCTGGACAGTCAGCTATGAGTCAGTGCCAACTCATTGGTACATAATAACAGCAACAACAATATCCAGAAACTAACACAAAGCAAAACAAAAAAGGTTGTCTGTGAGTTGATTCTCATGTACAGCTATCCTACGTGTTACAGAGGGAGCTGTGGTTGTTTGGTGGTAAGGAGTCACAGTCTCACCCCAAAGGCAGGCAGCCGAAATCTACCAGCTGCTCTGTGGGAAGGCCATCTCCTGAAAATCCGCTAGAAAGTCAGCTCTGAGTCAATTCTGACTCAATAACACAGAAGAGCAATAAAATCACATGTTACAAAATAGGGCTTGTGCTTCTAGCCATTGTTGTTATGCACTGTTGAGTCAGAACCAACCCATAGCTGACCCTCTAGCAAGTTTTCAAAGGCAGTAATTGCACTGGAGGAGATTTCTTTTCTTTCTCCCATAGAGCAGCTGGTGGATTTGAAGCCTTCATGGTTGCAGTGCAGCTCTTTATTACTAAGTCACCAGAGCTGATAGCCTAGTGGTAAGCCCAGTGCTGCCGACTCAGAGAAACACAGTTCAAATCTACCAGCTGTTCTGTAGGGGAAAGGCGGGCAATCTTTTCCCATGCAATTTACTGTATTTGAAAACCCACTGGAGAAAGGATCATTTTTGCGTCAGTTCCAAATGAATAATACACAACAAAAAACAAGAGTTTTCTGGGTAAACCTGATGAAAGAAAATCATCAGCAATTTATTCCAGCCATGGTACATGTGGGTTTCTTCAGACAATCAGGTTCGCAGCTGGAATCAAACTATTCGCATCACCTGTTGTTGTTATTAGGTGCCTTTAAGTCAAATACGATTACGGTGACACTGCGAAGAACAGATCTGAAACCTGTCCTGTTCTGGGCCATCCTCATCATCTTTGACACACTTGAGCCCATTGCTGTAGTCACTGTCAGCCCACCTCCTTGAAGGTCTTCCTCTCTTTCACTGACCTTTCCAAGTATAATGACCGTATGCAAAGAATACCCTCTCCTGGTAATACGTTCGAAGTATGATAGAAGAAGCTTCACCATCTTTACCTCCAGGTGTACTCTGGCTGCACTTTTGTGTTTTAGTTGTTTATTTCTTTTTGCTCTTGTTTCCTTTCTCTTCCTTGAGCTTCTTTTTAGAGACCTTGGATTCACTGGCCTTTTGGTACAGGTGATGTTAATGAGGTCCAGGAGGGCTGGCACCATGGCCATTTCCACCAGAGGGAAAATGACTTTTATGAACTTTTGCCAGTCGTTGGCTTTGATCAGTGAAATCAGGTTCACCTCAAACTGCAACACTGCATCTGCTGGTATAAATGGTGCAAATACTTGTTTTCCATATGCGAAGTGAGAAGGAATGATTGCTCTTTGTTATCTCCCAAACACGTCTAGAAGGCACTGTTCCAGCCCTGGTATCACTCGCTTTTGGCCAAGTTCTATCACCAGAGGGTCTTGGGTCAGGGAGATGTCAATAAAGTGCCAATCTACCAAGCTGCCTGTCTATTGGATGTGTATGTATCCATAGACAGCTGGCTCTGCACACATTTCAAGGGCTTCACCAGGGTTTGCACTTGGAGAGTCCAAACAGGACTTTAGGTTTCAACTTCAGCCTCTGCACAACACATCTCTCCTCTGAACAGCAGCAGCAGCTACAGCAGCTGCAATAGGAATAGTGAGGAGCGCAAAGTTATGACTGGACATGGGAGAGGGTACACCCATGGCCACCAAGACAGGCTGCTTGGCTGGCGGTACTTTTTCCAAGACGTATCTGTTTGTTGTTTTGGTCATCATGTTACATTCAGTACTCTGTTATTGTTTTGCCATTACATTCCTGATCTTCCAAACTTCTCTTAAGGAGGTTTTCAGTGAGAAATCACATGAGAGGAGATTGCTCATCTGTCTCCAATGGTGCAGCTGGTGGATTTGAACCACGTGTCTTTGGGCTTCACGTGCAGCCACTTACCACTAGACTACTCTCAGGACCTATAAATTCTCTGAGGCTAATTTCCTGTCATGGAACTACCAAGTTATGTGGTTTTTATGACTCTTTTTTTGTTTCTTTTTTGAAAATTAAGACATTCAGGAAAATTTATTATATAATCTTAAAAAAATGTTTAATTACTTTTGAAAATTTTAGTATCTCCTTTAAGTTTTGATATTTCTCCCAAACATAAGGTTTTTGTAAAACATTTGAAATTATTTCTGTTGTAGACAAAAGTACTCTGAAATAAAAGAACTTGAAAATCAATTAACACACAGTAGTTGTTCTCTGTCCCTCTCCCAGCTCCCCATAGATGTATGCATAGATATATACTGTAGGAAAGGAATAGAATTAGGAAGAATCAGTTAAATATAAAAAATCTAAACACTATATATTAATCTGACTTTACTGAAATTGGGATAAGAAACAACAGGCGTCTGATGCAGAGGGAGAAAGCTTGTATTTATTCATCAGGAATTTTTCTGTCTTGTATTTTGCATTGACAAAAGGAGCTTCTATGTGAAGGTGTTGGTCAGTTCAGTAGTTTAGGGCAAATTTTTGAAATGCAAATCAACATTTCTTTGCAGATTGTCTTAGGAGTTAGAATATTTTAGGTTATACAATGGAAAAGTAATTTCTTATGTGACTATCAAAGATAATCAAGGGGGACATAAAAAATATTTTCTGAGCTTTCAAACAGTTGTTACCTTAAATCTATTCTCTTTATGCTCTGGAGTGGCTTGCTCCAAAATAGAACATAGAGGTCAGAGTCAAGGTTTCACACTGAACAATTACCTCTGAAACCAACAGCCTAAATTTCAAATATAGCTTAGATTCCACAAATTAAAAAATAAAATCAGTTCCACTACACTGAAAACACACATTCAAGATAAACATATCTATCTATCTATCATCTATTTATCTATCTATCATCTATCTATCTATCTATCTATCTATCTATCTATCTCTTCCATTAAATGAATGAAGGCCTCTATAGTCAATTATGTATGCTACTCTCTTGAAAATCTTTTTGAAATCTTTGTCTCTTAGATCTTCTGTGAAATCAACCCCTGCCTATATTATTTTACACCCTGTCCCCCAATATCTCTTTACTCCACCTCCATTATTTTTTTTATTATTCTTATTGTATTTTTTTTTTATGTGTACCGTCAACTCAGATCTGACTGGTACAGGAGGAGATTGCCCCCTCCTTCTCCAGCAGAGCATCTGGTGGATTTGAACCGCGTACCTCTGGGGTTACAGTGTAGCATTCACCTCCATTCTTTATACTACTCCTGCTCAGAATTTTGTATTTCTTTTGAAGATTATTTTTATTGCAATGGAATCAAAACTCCTTCCTCTGTTACTCTTACTTTACCTTCATTCAAGCCTTGCATGATGGTACCAGAATCATTAATTAAAAAAATAACAAAACTACCAAACAAAATCATGTATCTCATATACCCACCACAGCTCTTGGTATAAGACAACTCTACAGACTGTCCTTGTCCTGAAATCAGTTCCACTTCAAAGCTGACCCTCCTTAATCAGCACAGCTCTATAGATTCGAATTATCAGAGAGATGTGATCTTTGTGTTTATGGTGCAATTCTCTAAGGGCTTTCCCACCAGACTCCATAGTAACATGTTTGATCTTGTTTGTTAGCTTAAAGACTGTATGCAATATTCAATAAAATATTCTAGTATACATCTTTTTTTTTTAACACAACAAACTCCGTCTTACCTTTTTCTATATAAAATCACACCACTGCCCAAGATCTACTCTATGTTTTCTGACTTACAGAGGTAATTTCTAGTCATGCTTTTATCTTTATGGCTTAGAATGACCTTCACTTTTCTCTCCATTTTGATAACATATTGTCTTAGCTTGTGTCTTAAGTAAATGATGCAGCAATAGCTGAAATTCCATGGGTGGGCAACTAAACAAAAGGAAATGCATTCACTCACATTATGGAAGCCCATGCTTGTTATGTTCCCTTAGAACCTGCTTATAGTTGACCCTCTTGTAGGCTTTCAGAGGCTGTAAATAATACAACGGGAGATTGTCCATCTTTCTCCAGTGGAGCAGCTGGTCGAATCTACTCACCTACATTTGGAAAACAGGCCAATTCCTTAACACTAGCCTATCAAAGCTCCATGTTGAAGAACCTAGAAGTCTGAATTCAGAGTGTTAGCTCTAGGGATAGGCTTTCTATAAGTGTGTCTTCTATTAATAGGATGTTCCCAGTGCGCGGACCCATTGTTCAAAGGATGTACCATCAAATCTTCTTTCTTGATTTTAGTAGGTTTCTCTTGTCTGTGTTTATTTGTTTAACTCTTTTATGCTTCAAAAGTGAATGACCCAAGATACAACCTGGCCTAATAACTGCATCCAGCCTCATTAACATCATTATTGTTAAGTGCTATCAAGTCAATT